TCAATTTTATAGGGTCATAATTTTTATCTATTTCTTTTTTTTTTTTCCTCCAATCAAAATTGAACACAAGTGAGAGTAAATGAAGTATTTTCACTCCCTTTTGTTGCCATTTGACAGCTTTCCTGTACTTTGTTTTTTTTTTTTTTTTACTTTTTCTTATATATATATATATATATATATATATATATATATATATATATATATATATATATATATATATATATATATATATATATATATGAGTTAATTACCGAAATGGTCCATTGACTATAGCAAAATTACCAATTTGGTCCTTGACTATTTTTTTAACCAATTAAGTCCCTCAACTTTCAAAATCTTAACCAATTTGGTCCTCTGTTTGTTTGACGTTAGTCAACCGTTAACTTGGGACCAAATTGGTAATTTCGCTATAGTCAATGGACCATTTTGGTAATTAAATTTAGGGGTGGGCAATTCGGTTTAGTTTTTTGAAATTGAACCGTACCAATCCGAATCAAACTAATTTGGTTCGATAATATATCGAACAACCGAACGGTATTAGATTCTTGTATACCGAACGGTTCGATAAAAAATCGATCCGAATTGTTGGTAAAATATTGAACTGAACCGAATACCGTTTGATTTTTTTAAACAAATATAATAATAATAATAATAATAATAATAATAATAATAATAATAATAATAATAATAATAATAATAATAATAATAATAATAATAATAATAATAATAATAATAATAATAATAATCATAATAATAATAATAAATAAATAAATAAATAAATAAATAAATAAATAAATAAAAAGTCAATCCAAGTCTCCTAATGCTTACTCTGCCATTCAGCTCATATTCTCATGGGTATTTCTCGTAAATGTTTTATTTGATTTCTTTATGGTTTGTTATCAAAAGTTCTATATTATGTGTTATGGTGTTTACATAGTCCATATCCAAAGTCTAATATATAACAACATAGCAATCCAAAGTCCGTCCAAATGGTATTCGGTTCTATTTGGTTTTTACCGAACAAATTCAGTTCGGTTCGAGTTTTTAGCGAACCGTTCGGTATACAAGAATATATTACCGTTCAGTTGTTCGATATATTACTGAATCTAACTAGTTTGGTACGGTTCGGTTCGAGAAAACTGAACCGAATTGCCCACCCTTAAAGTTAATTACCAAAATGGTCCCTTGACTATAGCAAATTACCAATTTGGTCCCAAGTTAACGGTTGACTAACGGTCAAACAAACGGAGGACCAAATTTGTTAAGATTTTTAAAGTTAAGGGACTTAATTGGTCAAAAAAATAGTCAAGGACCAAATTGGTAATTTCGCTATAGTCAAGGGACAATTTCGGTAATTAACTATATATATATATATATATATATATATATATATATATATATATATATATATATATATATATATATATATATATATATATAATTAGATTCAAATGTGGTTGGTGTGCTCAGTTGCAGTTGTGCGGTTAAATCTGAGCCATTGATCTTGCTTAAATCAACGTCCAAGATTACTAAATTAAAAAAAAAAAAATTGTGGTGGCAATGTTGTAAATTTTGCATCTAGGTCAAATTTAAGGTGCGTGTTTTTGTGCTTAAAGTGCATGGGTTTTGTGCTTAAGGTGTGTGGGTTGTGTGCTTAATGTGGGTAGTTTTGAAACTTAAGGTGCGTGATTTTCCTTCTTAAGGTGTGTAGTTTTTGTGCTTAAGGTGCATCGTATTTATTCTTCAAATCTGGAACAGAACATAAGGCGGCAGAGTGTAATGGGCACTCCTTACCCGCGCACCCTTCTCCCTTTTAAACTAAGGGGTCTGAGTCATGGGTATCCCAGACGCCTAGCTCAAACCCTCAAGAACAAAACTTTTGAACTGAGGGGTTTGCCAGACCCCTAGCTCAGACCCTCAAGAACAAAACTTAATTGCTTCATTTTAACACTTAAGGTTTGTTGTTCTAACACTTAAGTGTGTGTTTCTATCAATTAAGGTGCATCACTATTATAAACTGAAGGTGCGCGATGTTAATACTTAAGGTGCACCATATTAACACTTAAGGTGCGTTGTTTAACATTTAAGGTGCGTGTTTCTATCACTTAAGTGCGTCATTTTTAGCTTATGCTTCTTTCTTCCAGACACGCGTTTTTTCTTTCATTTATTTGAACCGTTGATCTAGATTTGATCACGGTTCAAATCTAACCACATGACTGCACCAGAACTCATCCCTATATATATATATATATATATATATATATATATATATATATATATATATATATATATATATATATATATATATAGTGAAAGGTTCCCGTGCGGTGAATGCTTCCCGTGCGGATGTGCGGTGGATTAATGTGCGTGAGATTTGTACTTAATGTGCGTGAGTGTTGTGCTTAATGTGCCTGAGATTTGTACTTAATGTGTGTGAATGTGTAAAATGCAGCAGAAAATATTGATGTCAGCTTCTTCCCCATCCCTAGTAGCCATTTGCCCCCCTCCCTGATGATGATGATGCGGAGGCGAGCTATAGTGGTTAAAAATTATGGGAATAATACAACAGAAATCCACACTTAGTTGCTGTGCAAATTTTACTGTGCGTGTGTCATTTAAATAAACATTCAACTGCAATGAAGGTAACTGATAATCCAGAATCCATGGCCAAATTGAAGGAAGAAGTAATAAGAAGTTTGGGCATTAATGTGCGTGAGTTTCTGTTCTGCTTCCTTTTGAGCTCGTAATTCTGAAATACGCACGCACATTAAGCACAAATCTCACGCACATTAAACACAGTACTCAGGCACATTAAGTACAAAACTCACGCATATTAACATGACGCACATTAAGTACAAATCTCAGGCACATCGAGTACAAATCTCACGCACATTAATCCACCGCACATCCACACGGGAAGCAACAAATACACCTGATCCCTTCCCTATATATATATATAATTATATATATATATACAAATTCGTTACGTTTTATTACGCACACGCCGTCGGTCAACAGCGCACAGACCAACGTCCAAAAACAATTTATAAATCAAGGCAGCAACTCATACCTGTGATAGTAGTCGCCATCTTCAACTTCTGCAATGTTCTTGCGCTTCAACACCCTTTGTTCACGGTTTGAGTGGTACAGCTACTAACCATATTGGATTACTACTTGTTCCCATTATATTTGTGGTCTTTCATTAATTCAAAGATTCCATTCTAATTCTAACCAAAATTAACACATTAATAGAATTACTCTTTAACCCTCCTAATTAAATTATGACCTTATTTACACTATATTTCTCATTCGATCTCATCCTTCCATTACAAATTTATAAATGGTCAAGATGTCGTCTCACCATTTCATCTTAATAGGAGTCTCATTGGATTCAATATATATATATATATATATATATATATATATATATATACACACACACAATATAATATATTGACTCCTGCAATCCTCCAAAAAAAAAAAAAAAAAAAAAAAAAAAGTTCAACCCCCAATCGATCTCCTCAATTTCATCAAAAAAAGATCTCTATTCAAAGTCAGCTAGCTTAGTTGTGTCTTGTATTCCAACTATTTGAGACTAATACACTATTAATGCAGGCAAATTATATTATCAACTATGAATAGATATACATTTTTATTTTATTGAATGTACATTATTTGTGTATTGAAAGTACAATATTTGATAGTATATCAATTACCAAACAATGTACTTTTAATAGTCAAATAATGTACTTTTACAAAATAAACTTTTAATGTATTAAAAATATATCTTTAATATAATAAAAATGTATTTTATGTTAGTGGTCCACCTTACAAAGTGAATCATGGTATAATGATTGGTGAAAGCAGGCAAATTATGCTGTGGAACCGTATGCACCTTGCAAAACTATCATAATTGTGAATATATAGTTCTAAAATTATGAACATAGAATTCTATAATTATGAACATAGAGTTATATAATTGTGAATATAGAGTTCAATAATTGTGAATATAAAGTTCAAAAATTATGAACATAGAGTTTTATAATTATGAACATAGAGTTTTGTAATTGTGAATATAGAGTTCAATAATTGTGAATTTGAAGTTAAAAAATTATAAACATAGAGTTTTATAATTATGAACATAGAGTTTAGTATTTATGAACATAGAACTGTGTCTACCTTGCAAGGTGGACACGGTTCCACTGCATAACAATTGGTGAAAGCACGCACTCAAATGACAAATTATTGTATAGACCATGATCCACATAATTGTGTGGACCATGAATATCAAATACATTTTTAATATATTAAAAGTATATTATTTTTGTACTAAAGGTACATTATATAAAATAATGTAATCTTGGTATATTAAAAATGTACTTTCAAAAAATGTACTTTACGTACATAAATAATGTACCTATAATATATTAAAAATGTACTTTTTAGTTATGCTCCATGTAATAATGATTGCACTCAAATTGTAGTGGCATAATGGGCTTTAGAAAGTTCTGAGGACTTCTTCGGCCCAATATACTTTACCAAATCATGGCCCAAAGAACCCTATATCAACATTTTGGATTATATTGAGAAAATTTACCTTTTTTACATTCAATATAAAAGCAATTTATATCATGAACCTGGGTCTATATAACACTATAAACCTTAAATCGAAACCATGAGGTACATAATTTTATAACGCAAAATAAAAAATCATAATACAAGACATATACACATGTTATATATTTATTTATTTTTCAAATCTGATTTAGGTACATAATTTGTGTTTATATACACAGAATTTCACAACACATTGACACAAAAATTCATAACATTAGATATAATTACTAATTTATTTCATATACAAAATTCACTCTTAATATACAAAATTACATAACACGAGACACAAAAACTTACAATATAAAATACATACACATGCATCAAGGTCCACCCCACTCCATGGTATAAGGATTGCAATATGAACATATAGAGCAATATAGTTGTACCAAGTGACAATAAACTATTACCAATAATATTTACCCTACAAATATCATTAACATATGCCAAGAACAAAAAACAATGTTGATAATAATACTAAGAGAGCTTGAAATTTAAACAACAAAGTGTAGCCAAGAAGCAGTAAAACTAATTCATTAAGCAGTAAAAAGAGTTGCAGCAGCAGCTGAGGAAAACTGGATTTTCTACATTTCACAAAAGCCCTGTTGAAGAAAGCTATGTACAAAAACAGAAAACTGCCTTCCTGCTCAACTTATCTAAATTAAAACACTATTTTTCTTCCCATTCTTGGATCTTCACGATAAATTGTTCCGCTAAATCAACTTCGCTTCCCCGGGCTAGCTTTAAGCCTGTAGCAAAATGGGGAAGAAACGAAGAAACGAAGAAACCAGAAAGAAAGCTGATCACTTTAATTCCAAATGACTCCCGGAACTGGTGGAATGAGTTTCGGGTTCAGGCGTCTTCCTCTTTTGACAACCACCCGTGGCAAGCCTGTGTAGTCAGTCAAACATTTTAAGGAACAAAGCGAGAAGACAGGACAGAATATAATGAACAAAGAGAAGAGACGTTTCAGATCAAGGAAAAATACCCATACCCCAACTGCAAGGTGGTATCAGAATTCTCATTCTCGAACCCACCATCGCTCCCTATGTCGTCCTGGCTCTCAACACCGTCTTTTCCAGAGGAAACATTGTTTTCAGTAGGGTAGAATTCGATGCATGGTGCTGGCACAGTAGCACTTAATGGATAATAAAATCCTCGAAATCCTTCTATCTGTGTAAGCACAATGCATTAAACACAACTATATATAATCAATTTTGCATATTAGAAGTTATTCAGTGCATTGAGAAAAAGAATTTCGGTTTACCTCTTTGCGCAGTTGATCATTCTCCAGCAAAGCCAGCTCTTCCTAGTTAAAAATAACAGACAGTGTTAGGTGTTAGCACAAAATAGACATTAATCATGGCTGTAAAATGACAATTCATGGTTTTGTGAACATCGTAAATCACTATATGAGCTATAATAATGTAATTAAAACCTGTTTCCGTGAGTGCTCTAGTTGTTCCATCAGTATTTGATCCTGGAATGAAGACTCTGTTATAGACCTCACTTAAACGTATTGAAAATATAAGAGAAAATGTCATGGGTTAGACAAGCTAATTGATTGGATTCAGTCTTTTAGTGTGGCATTATAGCGACTTTGGCCCAATCTTAGATTACAACATGATATCAGAGCTTGTTCGGTTCACTTTATGTTCACCTGGTAAAAAATGCATTTTTCATTAAGAAAGAGATGAAACACGAAACCTTTCTACTCTTTATGCCCACCAGTCCTTCATGCAGTTGATGCTCAAGTTCCCGTAATTCATTCAAGCCCATACCTTTAAGATCCTTACCCAACAATAGCCTAAAATCAGAGCAAGATCAGTAGGGGATTGAATTAGCTTTGAATTTATAAAAGATCAAAAATTGCAATTAGATAGCTAACTGAAAACATACAACTGCTTTGATTTAAGCTTTGAGATTTCATCACTCAGAACCTCCACCTCCGTGTGTTCTAGCTGCTGATTCTAAGAGCCATAGAACAAGCACAGAGATCAAACAATGAAACCATCAATAGGCTTTTCTAAGACAAAAGTAAAAACATGGGTACTTTATTGCGAAAATATTAAGGTTAAATAAACATATCAAGAACAGCCTATGATACATGACGAGTGAGATGATATTGAACATTACATGGGCCATCACGAGAAGATAAAAAGACCAATAATTACCTTTGGCTTCTTTTCTACAAGGGGCATTCCTGAAGACTTTATACGTTTGTTATACCTCGAAAGTGTTTGCTCCATGCTACATAAAAGATAGATTACATATGGCATGTTTAGTAACCGGAAAATTCTCCAGTTTCCTATTCAAAATTAGCTAATTTTCAAATTTAGAAATAAAAAATGGAGAACACTATTTTCTGGGTTAATAAAGGGAGTTGGAAACCACTAATCCATAACTTCAAGTATGATCACCATCACCATTACCTGTGAACTTTAAGTTCATCTATCTATCTACCCCTACCTTCACCCACATATCCAACTCCACTCTCTACTTACTCTTACCATCTCATATCTAACCCCCCACCGCCACCCCCACCCTCATCTCCTTTATAATTATCATGTACCTGCACAGAGCATGAAAGTTTTTGAAAACTATAGCCTAAACTTCTCCCAAAAGGTTGAATCCCCAACCCCAAGGCCCCACACCCCAGCCCGGCAGAGCATTTGAGAATTGAGAGCATGTAAATCACAGTTTCTCAGTGGCTCAGCATACAATGCCAAATGCCTGTGCCCACAAGGAAGTTGTCTACTTTGGGCATAATCCCCACACTGCCGAGTTTTGAACTTTGATCTCTTTCCCAAATACCTGTCTACTGAACCAGTGAGCTACGTCCGTTATAGCCTAAACTCGTGTTCATCGAAATGGGACAACATAAACATGAACAAGTATTCCTCATTGAATGTACGACAAAAAGTACTAAATCAAAGATCAAAGATGATAACGTTCAGAGAATCGAAACAAATATCTTCAGTCAACTATAAGTTGACCTGCTTTAGTAGGGCTAATTAATTGAAGTAGAATCAAAATTGAGACTTTGGAAATACATACTCCGTATATAATTACCAGTTACCTGCAAATCTGCAATGCAATCATAAAGAGCAAAAATGCACAAAAATTTGAAATTGTGCGAAATTGAAAATCGGAAAACATGCCCTAATCAATCGCAGAAGGAATTTCACATGCAAAAAGCAAAAATGAAGATTCAAAAGAAAAAAATTGGATAGACCTTTTGCTAGAGAACTCGAAAAGCTTGCCAGTACTGGAGAAGACGATGACGGCGACCTCAGCGTCACATAGAATAGAAAGCTCTCTTGCCTTCTTGACCAAGCCGCCACGGCGTTTGGAGAAGGTGACTTGCCTGTTGTTTATATTCTCAATCAATTTTATATCAATCTTCCCTCTACCCATCCTCTTATTCTTCTCAATCTACACAATTAAGTTCTTGTTAAACTAACACCCCTAATTCTCAATTTACAGCGAATTGGATGAAGGGTTTTAGCAGGGTGAAGAAGAATGAAGAGAGGAGGGGGGTGGGGGTGGGGGTTGCTAAATATATATATATATATAGAGAGAGAGAGAGAGAGAGAGAAGGTGGAGGGCAGCGACCAAATGGCGAGAAAGGCAAGCTTGCATGGCTGTTCCTCTATACGCTGCTGCATGAGTGTTTTTGCCACATTTAGCTCCTCTCCCTCCTTATTGGTCCTTTTTCTGGGTCCTACTTTCCGTTTCATTTCAACCCCTAGCCCTACCAAATTCAAATTGGGCAACCGACTCGAGATAAATCAATTTAGATTACTCAATTTGTTCAACAAAGTCAATTAAACATTCAGGAAAAATATTTATATTTTGACTACTAGGAAGTTTAGTTAAGGAATTTCTATACCGGTTGAACGTTATGTTATTGATTTTTCAGTCGTTCCAATTAATAATTCACTCAAAATAGGTAATATTTGACTTCTAGAAATTGCAATTAATGAATTTCTATACCAGTTGAGCGTTATAGTATCTATCTTTCGGTCGTTCTAATTAAGGATTCACTTAAAATATTTATAATTTATTAAATTTATATATTAAAAATATTGAAATTTATATTAATTAACTAGTATGTATATATATATATATATATATATATATATATATATATATATATATATATATATATATATATATATATATATATGAATTGATTATATTATTAATTGTTTAAATTGGTTATATAGTAGGGTATTATATTAGTACGTGAGAGCATTGAATATGGAAACAATATTATCAAGATTTTAGTTAATTTCTATTTTGCATTTGCTTATAAAATAAGTTATATTAAATTATTTGGTGATAAACATCTAAAAATTCTACACGGTAATACCATACATAATATTACCAATTATGCTATTATGTTATTACCTAATTAATTAATATCTTATTGCTACTGTTTACCTCAATCATCTCATAAATATCAATAATGTTTATTAAAGGGCTCTAATCAAACACATAAACTGAAAAAAAAAAAAATGACAATCATAAGCAAAATATGTACAAAAATAAATGATAAAAATATTATGATAATGATTAAGACATAATAAATTTACCTTTCCAGAAAATCACGAAACTCTAGAAAATCCTGATTGAAATGGAGCTGTGTATCAAGAGTTATATATCTTGACATAACCAGCTAATCAGAAAGAACATTCATTACTTGTTCTTATTCAAACACTTTCAAATATAAAGAAAAATTAAAACACTTGTGTTTAGATTAACTCTTCGTATCATTCTTAACTCTACACAGTTGCATAAGAACAACCATAGGATTTGCAAGGCCATAATTATAACCAAAAAAAAAAAAAAAGTTTCAACTCTTGATATATATTGATCTCACATTGTAGCCTTCAATTGATTGTCCCTATAAACAAATAAACTACTTAATAAAAATACATATACAAAAAATACAATAAAAATAACAAAATTAGATAATTTACTTTGTATCCACGTACAATTAGAAAATCAATAAGTTAAGAAGGCTTCCCTGCAATGATCTTATCCAATGGGGAGTATATCTCAATGACCCTACCAATAACTTCAAACATGTTAATAAATAAATAAATAAATAAAAGAATTCAAATGTAGATTAAAATTGTAAATGAAACTTATCAACGAGCTGTTTATCATCTAAACACTTCAAAGATGAAAATGATTTCAATAAATAAACTTGTCTAGGAAAGTTGTCATTTTTTTTATTCTTTAATCAAAGTAACGTAGTTGAATTACAACATAAAATGATGAGTGAATTTTTTGTAAATATAGAAATTACTTATCACCATAAAATTTTTAATGGCATAAACTTTTCATTCTTTGAAAAGCTTACAGTACTTACTAACATGCTCCCTTAGTATATGAGCATGGAGTTCCCTACAATGGAGTAAAAAAGAAAAGTGCTATTTTGCAATTTATTTTTGCAGTATAGGAAGCAGCTTTGTAATGCATCTTTTTCCCAATTTCATATACAACACGAGTTCTAGCAAAAAGCAAAATCGAAAAAAAAATACCATTTGATCGTGAAATATGCACTCTCTAGATTTTATGGAATCACTCCCCTTTCTCTTTGGAACTTCATATAGGTGCACACCCATCACCATCTAATAGCTCTGAAAGTCTTCAATGGAGAAATCTCCTAGCACCTGAAGGGCAATTTCGTATCAGAAGGGGTGAAAGATATTCGGGGGATAAGAACTTTGGTTCCTTGATGTGTCTCATTAACTATTCTTGCTTCGACAATGTAATTTGTCAATCTTGTGACGATGAGGTGCGTACCGTCGCAAAAACCAAGAGAGTCGTCTATGTTCCGCAAAAACATAACAACTGCAACAAGAGTCACAACTTAAATATGTTCGATCTTCTGATCTGCAGTGTTCATGTTGCACATGTACTGATTAATTTGATCAACTACATCTAAAGTCGCTGAGAGGATCGCTTGGCCTTCTAGGTGCGACTCATCAAGGTGCAAATTTGTTACGAAAATGTCGAGTTCTGAACGAATCCTATACTATTTTAATTTTCAAAGTCGAGTGTTGAATCAAATTGTATAATATTTTAATTTTTATATCTTTTTTATTTTCTAAATTATAGATATTTAATAAAGTATTTTTTATTATGGGGATGTAGCTCATATAGTAGAGTGCTCGCTTCGCATGTGAGAGGTACGGAGATCGATGCTTTACATGGTGCAAATTTGTTATGAAAATGTCGAGTTCTGAATCGAATCCTATACTATTTTAATTTGTTATGAAAATGTCGAGTTTTGAATCGAATCCTATACTATTTTAATTTTCAAAGTCGTGTTGAATCAAATCGTATAATATTTTAATTTAAATGATTTTCGTTTTCTAAATTATAAAAATTTAATGGGGTATTTATTATTATGGAGATGTAGCTCAGATGGTAGAGTGCTCGCTTAGCATGCGAATCCTAATGTAATCTCCAAGCTTTACACGGTGAAAAATTCTTACAAAAATGTTAATCAAATTGTATACTATTTTAATTGGCAAATGCTTTTTGTTTTCTAAATTATAGATATTTAATGAAGTATTTTTAATTATGGGGATGTAGCTTAGATAGTAGAGCGCTCGCTTTGCATGCGAGAGATATAGGGATCAATACCTCGCATGTCCAATCCTAATCTGTTAATAAATCAAATTGTATACTTTTTTTCAAATTCGAGTTTTGAATTGAATCGTATACTATTTCAATTTTAAAAGTCGAGTGTTGAATCAAATCTTAGGTGCAAATTTGTTCCGAAAATCTCGAGTTCTAAATCGAATTGTATACTATTTTAATTTTAAAAGTCGAATTTTGAATTGAATCGTATACTATTTTAAATTTAAAAATCAAAGTGTTGAATCAAATCTTATAATATTTTAATATTCAAATGCTTTTTGTTTTTTCTAAATTATAGATATTTAACGAAGCATTTACAATTATAGGGATGTAGCTCATATGGTAGAGCGTTTGCTTGGCATGCGAGAGGTATAGGGATTGATACTTGTATGTCCAATTATTAATACATGTAGTTTGCAAGCTTTACCGTAGTAAATTCGTTACAAAAATGTCGAGTGCTTTTTGTTTTCTAAATTATAGATATTAAATGAATAATTTTTCATTATGGGGATGTAGCTCATATGATAGAGCGCTTGCTTTGCATGCGAAAGGTACGGGGGTTGAGACCCCGCATCTGTAATTCGAATATAATATGCAAGCTTTACACGGTGTAAATTTGTTCCGAAAATCTTGAGTTCTAAATCCTATTTTAAATTTGAGTGTTGAATCAAATCTTATAATATTTTAAATTTCAAATGTTTTTTGTTTTCTAAATTATAGATATTTAATGAAGCATTTATGATCATGGGGATGTCCCTCGTATATATGATAGAGCGCTTGCTTAGCATGAAAGTCCAAATTAAATCGGAACAAAAATAATGAAGGTCCAAACTAATCTTTTAGACAAGACCCCCATTTTTAATAAAACGACCCTATATATATAATCAAAAAATTAATTGCAATAATTAAAAAAAAAAATCAACAACTGATATTTTTACAATATGACGCTAACCTTAATAGTATAAGAGTCGTTTGGTCAGGAAGTTAAAATGCCGGATTCTATTTTTATATATAGTATAGATTATTATTGTTATTATTGTTATTGTTATTAATATTATTAATATTATTATTATTATTATTATTATTATTATTCATTTGTTTATTATTATTTTTGTTATTATTATAAATTTTATTTTATTATTGCATAATAATAATAATAATAATAATAATAATAATAATAATAATAACAATACTATTATTATTATTACTATTATTATTATTATAATCAATGTCCTTATATGATTTTTTACATTTAACCGCTAATAGTAAAAAGCTAAAACTGAAATGCTACATTTTGCAGCATTTTAATTTGGCATTTTAAGAAAAGAATAATTTTTTTTTTCCAAAACGTCCTTGTATTATATATTTAAAAAAAAAAAAAAACGTATAACTGAAGCCACTAAAGGCTCCTTAAATGCAGGAGCCTTTTAGGATATAAATGTTTGCCAAGCAGTGATGGGCAAGCAAATCGTTTCATAAATCATCAAATGACTGTTGGGAGGATTAATTCAGTTGTTACAGAATTAATTTCAGGTTAATTCCAATTTTGAATTCCAGAATTAATCTTCATATTCAATAGTCAGTTTTGAAGGATTTGAACATGGGTTTAAATGCCAAGAATGAATGTTATTTACACCACCTTCTCCTATATAAGAAGTAGTAGTAGCAGAATTTTTCAGAACAAGAAGAACACACATAACGAAATAATATTTTCAGCTCCAAAATCTCTCCTTCTACTCCTTTCTTAGCCTATTGTGTTCTAAGCTTTGTTCTAGTTCGTCGGGTTCTTTGTTTGGGTGCTCAAACACTGAATCGTAGCACATTTTATCTTGGGAAACCTAGGCTATAACGCTCCTAGCACTTGTGGAAGGTAGCAAATAAGGTTTTAAGGAAAGAGTGGTCGCTCGACTCGTGCTAAAAACCTACACCAAACATGAGCCATATATCTTCTTCATTTTCTTCCATAAAATAATAATCTTTCCATAGGATTATTATTTGGATTTTACCAACATAAATATGTAAGTAGATAATTGTGACAATGTGGTTATAGTGATATATAACCAAATAGATGATAGATGATTGATGGTTTTGTTTTTCATTTAGAAAATAAATTTTAAAAGTTTTCTAGTTTTCTAGAAAGCTGAAAAATGTTTTCAGTTTTCAAAATGAAAATTTGTGCTAGTAAACATGTTTTTTGTTCTATTATATTCTCCAATGCTCCAGTTTTTCAGAAAACTAGAAAAAATTTTCAGTTAGTAAACAAGCCAATATGTTTTCTTTTTAAAGCAATGTTTTGCTTCTTATGAGGCAGAGCTTATGTCTACTTTATCAAAGTTGAAGTTTCTATTATAGTATATATACATGCCTTGCAAACATGACAGAAGGAGAAAGCAACATGCCTTTTGGTTGCAAGGAGGGAATTAGGAGGGAAAATGAATGGTAATTTTATAGAAATGAATAAGATTGGAATTCAAATTTCATTATTTGGTAGGTAGGAATAGAATTATTTAGAATTTCAATTATATATAGTGTTCAGTATAGATGAGAATAAGTAGTACAAAGACAAAAATACCCGTGTGGTTGCAATTCTTAGGTAAATATGTAGGATTATTAGGGAGGATAATTTGGTCCTCATATTCCAAACTTTCTTTCCATGTATTATGGAATTACAATTCCTAGGGGATGTGAGATTTGTAATTCCTCGAATTTGAGGAATTGTATTTTCATATAATTGCAATTTCTCTAGACCAAACTCTGAAATTTTCCATTTCTTAAAATTACGTGGGAAATGAATTGCAATTCTTCTCTATCAAACTTGGGATAATGGAATTTTTCAATATCCATGGCACTGAGTTGCTACAGAAACATCAAGACCAAAAATTCTACATAAATTATCATATCAACACTGTTAGGAATGTTACAAGAAAAAAGTAACAATTTCACTTTCTTTGTTGTGTTGGATGTATGAGATCGTCTAACGGATCCTTTTCCGTGAGACAAGTCAGGTCAATATGTAAATTTAATACTTATACTGAAAAATGTAATACTACTCAGGAATAAATTATTTGTTACTTATGAGAACGTAAATTATACCCATTAAATTAAATATATTTTAAGTAATGTTTGTATTTTATATATCAAGAGAAAATTTAATTTAGACATGTTTTTAAAATTTTAAATTTTTAAATTTTTTTTCAATATAAAAGAAATGCAAACTTGAAATATTTTGGGAAAATAGAATTAAACTATAATTAAAGTTGGGTTATATATAGGGTTTAATAAAATATTTCAGATTGAATTAGCTTGTCCAATTTGTGTATAATGTATTTGATTAAATTATTGCCAAATGTTACCACTCAAAAAGGTTTTGTTTGACGTTAGTTTAAACCTTTAATTAAGATTGCATTTGGTTTAGGGTTTAGTTTCATCTTACTTCAGTAACGCGGACTTGGGGGGTAATGAATCAAAAATAAATGGCCTATGCAGGTCTCGAACCTGCGACCTTCGCGTTATTAGCACGACGCTCTAACCAACTGAGCTAATAGGCCAAGCTGTTATATTTGTTATTTTTTACGTATATGTATCTGGTTGTATTTGATTTGTTTATGATGTTCAAACTCTTCACCGTGGTAATTTGGGTTATTTTCTATCCTTTTCTGTTCAATATGCATCAAATCTGCATCTGGACATGACAACAAAAGTTTGCAATCATTTATGATTAGACATTAGGGATTTACTTATTTATTTCAAGTATGAAGAAAGTCTTATTACTAACTTTTCAGAAATACTACATATACTTTCACTTCTTACTCCTAACTCGTACACAATTTCACAAATTTTTGATGTATACACTTTTCCTGGGATCTACATGATGAAAGTATCGTATCCTTGTTTGCCATATTATGGAGTAAAAGTGAGGGAGTATAATTTGAGAGTACATATAGTAGAACTCCTAACTTTCTAATACTATTTAATTATTAGATTAGATATATAAAATGATTTAACCCCAACTCATTGGTCTATTCATGCCTCGTCCCTAGGGTTTTATAGAAAAATAAATTACAAGATTTTCAATTAGGGGGGAAATGAATTGTTTGGTATAAATGTATTTTCATCTATACCAAACACTGTAATTGAAATTCTCAATAATTCTATTCATACTTAACCTTATTCATTTCCTACAAAATTACAATTCATTTCTCCTCTGATTTCCTCCTTACAACAAAAAGGCATGTTACTTTCTCCTTCTGTCATGTTTGCAAGGCATGTATGCTATAATAGAGACTTCGACTTTGATAAGTAGACATAAGCTTTGCCTCATAAGAAGCAAAACATTGACATTATATTTAAGGGAAACTTATAAGTAACCTGTAAAAAATGCTATTTGCATAATTTTTAAGTTTTTAATTGTTCAATTGCACACATTTTTTGTTCGATGGTTCAATTGTACAATGTATAAAAATTCAAAGACCTATTTGACACTTTTTTCAAAAAAAAAAAAAAAAAGTTTTGTACTGTTATTCTACAAATGGGAAGCATTTGCCACAAAAATCTATTTATTTTTTTTATTTTTTATGACCATATTCTTTTCCTTAAAAACCAACACCTATATAAATTCAAAAGAGTTAATACCAGCCAAGATCCCTCGAGTTAGGTGGTTTTACCACATATAATGCTAAACTTTCGTATTACCATCCGCGATCCTCCGAATTTCAAAATTTGACATACTACTATCCTCCCATTAGTTTCTTCCGTCTAGACCGTCTAAAATGGGGATAAAATTATCATTTACCTTAAATAATTCATTTTTAATTTCTTTCGTCTGGGCCTTCTTCTTCTTCATTCCCCTCATTCTTCTTTAATCTCTCTCTCTCTCTCTCAACGTTATCTTCCAGAGATTAATTCAAACCAATTTTCTAAGTTGCGAAAAGGGATATGTAAATTGGACTGAATTAATCTCGTGCAGTCAATGACATTAATAATTAGCATATTATGTAGGGATATAAATTACAATTTTCTCTAAAAAAAAATATTATTAACAAAAAATACCATACAATAGAAATGAGTTAATTCCATCAATGGTCCTCCGACTATTGCGATTTTTCAAAATTGGTCCTCGACTTTTAATTTGGACGAAAAAGACACTTGACTTTCTAATTTGTTCTAGTAATGGTCCTTCTGTTATCCATCTGTCTCTTAGCCGTTAGTTTAGGGGGCAAATTGGTCTTTTCGTTATTTTGTTTTCTTCTTCCTCATTTCTTCCGCAGAGAAGTATCCCATTTTCTCACCTATCTTGCTCCATTTTTCTCACAATTGGCCCTCTTCTCCCGGAGCGTCACTTTTGCTCTCTTGCTGTTTCTATACAACACCCTCATTCGAGCTCAGGGGGATGCTAGGGATTTATGATCACAATGGGTTAATGGTGTATAATGAGATGTTAAGGAGTGGTGTTATGCCGGATGATCATACTTTCCTTTTTGTGCTTAAGCTTTGCTCAGACTTTTTGGAGGTCCGGAAAAGACTGGAAGCTCATGGAACGTTGCTGAAGGTGGGATTTGATTCAGATGTGTACGTGAATAATAATCTGTTGAGGTTCTATGGGAACTGTGGTGATTTGTTAGTTGCGGAAAAAGTGTTCGGTGAAATGCCCAAGAAGGATTTGGTGTCTTGGAACTCGATTATTCAGGCATTTTCAGACAATAGTTGTATGTTGCTTTGATGCGATTAGAGTGTTCATAGATATGCTTTTTTGGTCTGAGGTTAATCCAAATGCGGTTAATGTGGTGAGCACACTGCCAGCTTGTGCAACACTTGAGAATGGGAAGATGAGTAGTGGGATTCATTGTTATGTTTTGAAAGTAGGTTTAGATAGTCAACTTAGTATTGGGAATGCATTAATTGATGCTTATGGTAAGTGCAGAGAGGTTGAAGCCTCGAAACAAGTCTTTGATGAGATGATTGAGAGGAATGATGTCTCATGGAATGCAAATATTGTCATTTTGGGTTACAATGGGTGTTATGAACAGGCCTTGTCTAGTTTCAGGTTGATGATTGAGAAGATGTCGACTCCATGGAAAGGTGGAATTGGGTTGTTGGGCTGCTGATCACTTAAATCGAAGCCAAAGCACTCTGGGTACTATGCACTGCTTTCCATGGAATGTTCTCTCTGAGCATTCAGATTTGAATTTGTTTTTTCTACCAAAAAAAAAAAAGATTTGAATTTGTTTTTGCTCATGGAGGCATGATTTTCGCCATTGACGATAATCAATTGAGCAGATTTGAATCTGCGTCATATACACTCACGACTAAGAAGAAAATGAGGAAGAAGAAAGCAAGATAATGAAAAGACAAATTTGCCCCCTAAACTAGCGGCTAAGAGACAGATGGATAACAGAAGAATCATTACTGAAACAAATTAGAAAGTCAAATGTCTTTTTCGTCTAAATTAAAAGTCGAAGATCAGTTTTAAAAAATTACAATAAACGGAGGACCATTGCTGAATTAACTCCAATAGAAATAGTGAAATACTCTAATAGGATTTTTCTAAAAAAAAAAAAGTTAGAGTTGAATATCTTTTCTGTAATTCTTTTTGGCTGGAAGATTGAGGGTATTTTTGGAAATTCAACGAAATAGGAGAAAGGAGGATGAAGGGGAGGGGTTAAGTGGGAAAAGAAACAATTGAATGGGGTTAAATTGTATAGATTTAATAATTTTGGGGGCAAATTGTTATTTTGTCATTCGTAAATTAGATGAGACGTGGCAAACTGTGATTGGTGCAATGACAAATATAATACGGAACACTGAACAGCCTAGATTTTATTTTCCAAATTTACCCCTCCATTATATCAAAAACGCCGGTGTCGTCGTCTCGGACAGGCGATGAGAGTAACAGACGGGGAGAGAGTGAAAGTGAAATCGGAAATCCGTAAAGAATTTGAATAAGAGAGAGCATAAACACTCTCTCTCTCTCTCTCTCTCTCTCTCTCTCTCTCGGGTGCGCCCGATCCTATTAAACCCTAAGATTGGGTTGTGCCAACGGGCACGAATTTGTATAGAGTTGGATAGATTGGGTGAGGCATGGCGTTTGTGAAGGTTGTCAATCGATCGGCCTCGGCGTCCTTTGCGCCGGAGGGGCCGTACTTGGCGGCCGGGACGATGGCGGGGGCGGTGGATCTGTCATTCAGCTCCTCGGCCAACCTCGACATTTTCAAGCTCGACTTCGGATCAGATGATCAGCAGCTCATTTTGGCCGGCTCGGTTACCAGCTCCGAGCGCTTCAACCGGTTGTCTTGGGGGAAGGCTCTTCCGAATTCCGAGCAGTTTTCTCTCGGGCTCATCGCGGGTGGGCTTGTTGATGGCCACATTGGGCTGTGGAATCCCAGGCCTCTGATCTCGTAATGTCAATCGCCTTCTTTGTTCTGTTTCGGATTGGGTTTATTCAATTTAGTAGTTTGAGATTTGAACCTTTTTGTTTTCTGGAGTTGCTGAATTTTGCTCGTTGTTTGTCCCATTTGCTGATCGTTTGTGCCTGATTTAAAATTACCGCGAGTTCCAATTGGAGCCTCTTTGGAAGAGTTGAAAATTGACTACAATTTCATTGGATTTAAATCCATATGCTCTTTTAAAAAAAAGTATATTAGTATCAATTTCTTTCATTTTTTCGGGAAGACATTATTGGATGTCATGGTAATTTTTTTTGTTTTTTTTTTAATCGATGAAGACCTGGAGAACTTTGCCTGCGGCAAAATGAGCATATAGTTTTTTTTTTTTTTTTTTTTTTATATTACATTTGTCTCAGAACATGGAAATTGGTGCAGTTTTGTGCAATTGGTTTGACTGCAAAAACTCAGAATTTAACATGCTGGACTGATCTATTATTCCACTGCATTGTTGTTTTCTTCTACAAGTATCTGTTCAGAATATCCTCTATCCATGACGCTTGTTTAATTTTGTTTGCACTTCGCCCCTATAGCTCTGGTGCAAATCAAACTGGCACTGAAGCTACTGAAAATGCCTTTGTTGGTCACCTTTCAAAGCATAGTGGGCCTGTAAGTATCAAATTTTACATGTTGCATACTTGTTTTCCTTTGGCATTTTGCTTTGTTGGTAACCTGATGATATCATATGCATCTCTGATTTTCAAATATTTCAGGTTCATGGATTGGAATTTAATGCTTTTACTCCGAATCTCCTTGCTTCTGGTGCTGATGAAGGTGAAATTTGTATATGGGACATTTCACGTCCAGCAGAACCAACTCATTTTCCTCCTCTGAAGGTCTGTAGTAGCTTACATAGAAAAATTACTTGCAAGCATTTCTAGTTATAACTTTGATCAAGACTATTTTTATGTCCTCCCTTGTGTGAGTTGCATCCCTTTTCCATAGATAGAATTGTAGAAATGGGAAATGAAAAGAAATTTCTGACTCCTAAAGCATGAAAAGAAATTTCTGACTCCTAAATGCTTTAATGACCCAGGACAATATTAAATTAGGTCCACGATGTTTTTTTTCCTCTTACCTGAATTTTATTGGATTATTAATACTTGGCTTTTCTGGTCTTTTGTGTATCTTTATGTTTACAATGTGCTGAAATTTTATTTAGGGTAGTGGATCATCAACCCAAGTTGAAATCTCATATTTATCCTGGAATAGCAAAGTTCAACATGTGTTGGCTTCTACATCATTAAATGGCACAACTGGTGAGTAAAAAGTCATATAAGTTATATGAGTTATATATCCATTTGAAGACTGGAATAATGGGCCTCTGATTCTTTTTCTTTTATTTGTCTCTTTTTCCTCAGTGGTTTGGGATCTTAGGAAGCAGAAGCCGGTCATAAGGCTAGAACTTTGCCCTTAATGCAGAAACTTGAATATTTATACATTTGTTTTATTACAATGTATAACCTATGTTAGCGGTAATGTTGCAGTTTTTCAGATTCTGTTAGAAGACGGTGCTCTGTTTTGCAGTGGCATCCTGATTTTGCCACTCAGCTTATTGTAGCCTCTGATGAAGATAGTTCACCTGCACTGAGGGTATAATATGTTTCCCTTTGCGGCTTTCCGATTTTCAAATAATTTTCTATTACTGTTTTAATCACTTTGTCACTTTGATGTGATGCACTTCTACAGATGTGGGATATGCGGAATGTGATGTCTCCGGTGAAAGAGTTCGTAGGACATACTAAGGGTATGTACACTTAGCAGTTCCTGTGCTTTTCACTGAGTTTGCAAGCCTCTAAGAGTCTAAGATCCTTGTTTGACAGTGTCACATGCAACTCTGTATGGTGTGTTTCTGTTCTAAAAACATATGATCACAAAAAGTATAGATTGAACCAAAATGAGCAGTTGGTAAATTTTCAACAAAATTATTATGCAATATAAATAGTACTCCGTATGTTTGACTTTTTGAGTCCAGCTAATTTTGTTGCTAAGAGGTATGGTTTTGGCTACAGTTCAGCTAATATTGTTGCTAACCTGTGCAGTTCCATCTCTGGTCAAGATATGTATTCTAATTGCTCCCTAGGAGCAATGTATTGAAAAAACTTCTACAAATAATATTTTAAAGAACTCATGCTGGTAGTTCATCATGCCAAAAGCTTTGAGTTATTCAGACTTCTGTATGATCTCGAATGAATTTAGCTGACATTGGACTTCTTCTTTTGACAACAAAAAGCAATTGAGATGTTGATTTGCTATTAACTGAACCAAAGGCTTCATCTTCTGCTGATTTCCTATTTTCTCTGAGTTTTTAAACTCCCACTTTGTTGGTTTTACCTCTTAACTTGATTGTTGTTCATCAGGTGTCATTGCAATGTCTTGGTGTCCATTTGATAGCTCCTATTTGCTTACTTGTGCAAAAGACAATCGCACTATATGCTGGGATGTTGTTTCTGGTGAGGTGGGTAAAATATAGCATTCTGTGACAACACAATTTTTTTTTTTTTTTTTTTTTTTTTTTAATGGGACGGTGGTGCTCCCATTAGAAGTAGCTGCATTTGTTTGCTATATATGGTTCCATTTTAATAGTCTTTGAAGGAGCCCATGGAGAATTAACTGTGTTTTAAAGAAAAGTTGATTTCAATTGCATCTGCAGATTGTCTCTGAACTGCCAGAAGGAACTAATTGGAATTTTGATGTACACTGGTACTCAAAGTGTCCAGGTGTTATATTAGCATCATCTTTTGATGGAAAGATGGGGATCTATAATATTGAGGTGTGTGTTCACACACCTGGTGGTAATCATTTTGAACTGCACTGATTTCACGCAGTGGATTCTTTATTTAACACATCTGAATTTTGTAGGGTTGTGGTCGATGTCGTGCTGAAGAGAGTGCTTCTGGAGCAGGTATCATTAGTTTAGATGCCTTATGGTAAATTCTGATAGATACAGAAACAGCAAATATCATTTGGCATTATTCTAGACAGTTGTTGCAGTGTTTAGAAATGACTATAGAAATGTTTCTTCCTAGTGGACTTAGTGCTGAATAAAATATGCATCCTTCATTCCTTCTCCTGATGTCAGCACATGTTATGCTAAGGCAACAAGTTATCTTCGTAAAACACTACATAAAATTCCAAAATATTAGCCAATTTAATAGAATGTTTTTAGCCAAGAACCTGAATACATGCTACGACATGTTAAGCTCTATTTCTACAAAATGATCTTTCTTCCAGTCTTAAGCGCTTCACAAAGATTCACATGCCTCTCTAATGCAACACCACATGAAGAATTGATTCTTTCTGAATGCTATAGTTGGCACATGTTCTCTCATCCCAAAAGTTTTTCTAGCAAAGATCAAGAGTACAAGGGGAGAATTAGCATGGATATCTAGATTTATTAATTATCAACATGTACAACCCAAGATGGAAGGCATGTTATTGTGAAAGAGAACTAAAGAAAACATTCAACAGAACTTCATTTTTTATATCTTTTCAAGTAGAACTGACTGAATTTGTTATTGAATAACAGGTAGTATCCCAACCTTTGTGAGAATGGTAATTATTCAAGAACTGAATTATAACAGGAAAAAAAACAAAGGAATAAAAATTTTGCTAAAGTTTACATCCTTGCAACTTCTAAATGTTTACCAAAATAGGGTAAGGTGTTGGCTATGAGTTTAGTTTACACATATAACACTTTTACACCAATTATGCCAAACTAGGGTAAGGTGTGAACTCTTGTTACTCTACACCACCATCCCCATCCAGGTTCCCACATGAAAAAGATGAGGGAATGCACTTAAGATGGTTTATAATATCACTGGAATTGAAGCACTGGGAAAATCCCTTTGAGAAGAAAGAAGAATTCAAACTACAACAGCCTTTTTCCTAGGTTTCTTGGAGCTGTTTACATTTAGCATTTTTAGCATCACTTTTCTTTTTATTTGTGCCACCCCCTTCTTTTTCTGTTGCCTGTCCTATACTCCTTGTACATTTTTTGAATTTCACTTTTTTTTTTTTTTTGCTCAAAAACTATTATTCATAATATTATCATCCTTTCTGGGGTGTTTTCTCCCTAAATATAAATTGTTATGTGCCCTGGTGCAGCTTCTTTGAGAGCTCCAAAATGGTACAAACGAAAATCAGGAGTGTCCTTTGGTTTTGGAGGAAAGCTTGTTTCATTTCATTCTACTAATGCTGACAAACCATCAGAGGTATATGCTGAGCTGGTTTAGTATTACTCATTTCTTCTTATCAAGATTTACACTGTATAAGGTTGTGTCTTTTCCAGGTTTGCATTCGAAATGTAGACACTGAACATGGTTTGGCAAGTCGTTCTTCTGACTTTGAGGCTGCAATTCAGAATGGGCAGAGATCTTCACTTAGGATTCTCTGTGAAAAAAAATCTCAGGAATCAGAGTATGCAACTTTAATTAATAAGTGAATGAAAGGATTTCATCTAGTTATGTCTAGAGGTGATTGTGGTTTGGTTCAAACTGAATTGGTAACTGTTGGAACTGAAAATAGACATCCAGAGGTCCAGTTCTGGTTGGTAACTAGGCCCCAACCCTAGGACTTAAGGTCCTGGTGTTGGATCCTTATTATATTGTGACTGGAACTAGAGGTTTCTTTGCTGAACCACTAGTTCTGGTTATAATAAAAAAATGAATTTTATGTGCGCACGCGTGTGTGTTAGTACAAATATATGCTTATATAACATAGTATGGTGAATTTGAGTATATTGGGATACCACTTTCGCAAGCATTTAGTATTAAAAAAAACTTTAAAGGGTGGTTAGGCCCTGAATTACACAGAGAACCAGAACAGCTGGTTCTGGCCTGAAACATGTTCTATTCTAAAATCTTGCTCCATTCTTTTATCTAAACAGATCTGGTGATGAAAGGGAAATATGGGGCTTCCTGAAGGTTATGTTTGAAGATGATGGGACTGCAAGGACAAAACTACTTTCACACCTTGGTTTCAGTGTGCCTGTAGAAAAAGAGGATACTACACAGAATGAGATTTCTGAGCAAACATCTGCCCATGGTATTGGGGAAAGTCTTGCAGGTGGTAAAGAAGGGGATAATGTGAAGAAAGAGACCATGATGCAACTTATTGATAATGGGGAGGATTTCTTCAACAGTCTTCCAAGTCCCAAAACTGATACTCCTGTGTCAACGTCTGCAAGTAACTTTGCTACTAATGAAGCTGCCATGGGTTGGGAGGAAGCCCCACTAGAGATTAATGGAGCAGATGAGAGTGATGCATCATTTGATGATGCTGTTCAACGTGTTTTGGTCGTTGGAAACTACAAGGCTGCTGTAGAACTGTGTATATCTGCTAATAAAATGGCAGATGCATTAGTTATTGCACATGTTGGTGGTACTTCCCTGTGGGAAAGCACTCGTGATCAGTACCTGAAGACAAGTCGCTCTTCTTACCTGAAGGTAGTAATTGCATTCTCATGCTACATTGTTATTTTATTTATGCTAGTGTCTAACACCTTTAAGTGCAGGTTGTTTTTGCAATGGTTAACAATGATCTCAAAAGCCTTGTGAACAGCAGGCCTTTGAAATCCTGGAAGGAAACACTTGCTCTCTTTTGCACTGTAAGTCCTCCCCCACCCACAGACACAAAACAGGAATTGAACTATTACTTTTTTAGGTAACTTGGAACTCATGTTCATGCCATTCAGCTATGTACCCTACTCAGTATGATAGATGTGATTTTAGAACTGTAATGCTCATGGTGGAGGAATGATTTTTATATGCTTTTACCGTGATCTTTATATGCTGATCTTTTTCATCCATCTTATACAGTTTGCTCAGCTAGATGAATGGACTTTGTTGTGTGACACACTTGCTTCAAGACTCTTTGCTGCTGGTGAAACACTTCCAGCAACACTTTGTTATATATGTGCTGGGAATATTGACAAAACAATAGAGATATGGTCAAGGACTTTGGCAGACACGCATGATGGAAAATCATATATAGACCTACTTCAGGTTTTGTGCTGCATTGAGACATTTGTATTAACATTAAAATATGATCCTGTTCAGATCATGGGCAACTTTAATCTTCATTTTTTGTTTTGTAGGATTTAATGGAAAAGACTATAGTATTTGCATTGGCGACTGGGCAGAAACGGTTTAGTGCTACACTCTGCAAGCTTGTTGAGAAGTATGCTGAAATCTTAGCAAGTCAGGGGCTTTTAACTACAGCCATGGAGTACTTGAAGCTTCTGGGGACTGAGGAACTGTCTCCTGAACTGATGATATTACGGGAGCGTATTGCTCATTCTATTGAACCAGGTTTGGACCTTATAGCAAGGCTTATTCTATAATTTTGCCACTATTTAATCCACTTGTGTGGTATTTATCCTATTCTGTTTATTTACACCACCTGCAATTAATCAGTACTGATTACCTATTTTCAAATTTGTTTTCTTTTCCCAGATAAGGGCACAGTGAAGTCTATGGAATTTGATAGCTCTCAGATGCAAACATGGCCTGCACAAACTCCTGAACAAACAAGTTATGGCATGCTTGATGCATCTCAACAATATTATCCAGTAATAGATTCTTTGTTAAACATTCTGTGCTGTCCAAGTCATTTGCTCTTTGGTACCATTTAAGGATTACTATCACTAATGCATTCTCTTCCTGCTCAGGAGCCACAACCGCAGCTCAGGGCAAGTGGTCCTAGCAGTCAATATGCTGATAGTTATCAGCCCTCTCTTGGTCCTTCATACAAGGGATATGTTCCTCCTGCCCCCTACCAGCAAGCACCACCACAAACTATCCAACAACCTAATATATTTGTTCCAACACCTGCTCCCCAGGTATTTAGACCATTAGTGCCCAATTTGATAGACAGCTTAAATAAGTGCTTTTAAGATAGTTACTTTCAATAAGCTCAAAACAGCATATAAGAGTGTTATTTCGACTCACCTTAGAAAAGCTGTTTTCAGTTTATTCTAAAAAGCCACATGCCCTTTTCTAAGCAACTCCAAACAGAGTTAAAAATCTGGAATAGTGTTAATATAATTGAAATAGATAAGCTGAAAATAAGCTCTCATCTAAACTGGGCCTAGACTCCCTTTTCTGGAAAGTGCAATTGCCATAATGAGTGGTATACTGTATAATTGCTGATTTGGATATGTACTGTGTCTACACTGAATCAGGTCCTGTGATTAACTTTTTCTTCAGAGTTTTGCTTATTATGTTTCTGGTTTTAGTTTTGGAGTAAATCATAGTTTTTTTTTTTTTTTTTTTTTTTTTTTTTTTTTTGAGTTTTCACTTATTTAGTTTCTATTCGAGTAAAAATGTTTTTTGTTTTCTGCCTCGAAAAATGCTATTTAGTGTTTGCAATCTATGTTTTATCATTTACAATGTGCACAACTGTTGTTAAAATATGTTAGACAAAATGTGTTAATGCAAGTTTCTTGATTCTATTCTCCTTAATTTCTCCAATGAAAAGATTTCTGTTTTATCCCTTGCAGGGAAGTGTTGCCCCACCACCTGTTCATGCTCAGTCTACTGTGAAACCATTCGTTCCAACAAACCCCCCTGCTTTGAAACATGTTGAGCAATATCAGCAGCCAACTTTGGGTTCCCAGTTATACCCTGTATGTGTAAAACTTCCTGTTTTTAGGAACTCAGGATCATTGGAGTTATTCTTTTGTTAAGTATTTAAACATGACTGTTTTCTTCCTAAGCCTTCCTTTGCATGCTGTTTCAGGGATCAGCTCACCCTACTTATCCACCTGGTCCTCCTGGGCCTGGCACATATGGCTTTAACCCATCTCCAGTCCAAACTCTTGGGCAGAAGATGCCCCAGGTTGTTGCACCTTTACCAAGTGCTAGAGGTTTTACTCCAGTCACTGGTCCTGGAGTTCCGAGACCCAGTATGAGCCCAGTGCACCCTCCCAGCCCTACTCAAGCTACAGTAATCCAACCTCCTGCAGTTCCTGCCGCTCCTCCACCCACAGTGCAGACAGTTGACACTTCTAATGTCCCTGGTATGCTTTTACTTGCATTCTTACTATACGTTTGATTCACTTGATTGACAGTACTGTCTTAACCAGTAGACCTATACCAGATCATCTTTTTTTAGTTCACTTATTCAGAATGCTACAATTCTGTGTCAAATTTGTTACTATGTATAAGGATTAAACCGTAAAGAGAACGATGTATACAAGGCACATGAATTGCATCATAATGGAAGACATTTTATTTCTATTTCTTTTTAATTAAAATTTTTCTAGCAAAGGTAGTGTGTAATAATTAACATAGAAGTTCCACTTGTCTTTAATAATCTAGTTTGACTTGATCAGTTGATTGTGTGGGTTTTGTGCTATAGGTGAGCAAAAGGCTGTTGTAACAACTTTGACAAGACTCTTCAATGAGACATCAGAAGCATTGGGAGGGCAAAGGGCAAATCCAGCTAAGAAACGCGAGATTGAGGATAATTCAAGGAAGTTGGGGGCATTATTTGCTAAACTTAATAGTGGGGATATATCAAAGAATGCTGCAGAAAAGCTTGTACAGCTCTGTCGGGCTTTGGACAATGGCGACTTCAGTACTGCCCTTCAGATTCAGGTACTTTTTTGGTCGACTCCCCTTTCTTTCAGTTGGCATGAATTGAAATGGAATAATCTCTCATTTTTCAATTTATATTTGGAATAGGTACTTCTAACAACCAGTGATTGGGATGAGTGCAACTTTTGGTTAGCAACACTTAAGCGAATGATCAAGATGAGGCAGAGCTTTAGATAAATGTGATGTGCACTGCCCTCAGACAAAATTTAGTATCTAGGTTCTGTTTGGTTTTTGTTTTTATTTTTATTTTTTTGCAATCATGGGTTTAAGGTATGTCCACAAGGATTCATAATCGTTAGATCATGGGGTTAGGGTTTCTCCTGTCATCATGCCCTTTTTTAACCCAATTTCTGTTTTTGCATCTAGTGTTTGCAATTTTGACAAGAGATTAGAGAATATAGCTCACATTTGATTGCTTTTGATTATATTTTCCTTACATTTAAAATCTCTAGTTGAAAATATAGTTTTTTTTTTTTTTTTTTTTTTTTTTTTTTTTTTTTTTTTTTTTTTCAAAAACAGATTTTTGTTGTAATTCTTCTGGTCAGAAGTACAATATGAGCCAGTGATGAAATTTTTACTTTATACTTTTTCGGGTTTGATTATATTGGATGGATTGAGAAAAGTATTACTGTGTTCTTCAGTCTTGGCATCTGGTTTGGTTCTTTCTCAGTGTAGTAATATCCACCCAATGAATCTTTATTTTTTTTCTTTTAAATTTTTTTCCAACTTAATTTTTTTTTTTACAAATAAAATAATGAATAAAAAAATATCATTAAAAATTCTAATTGAGAATATTTAAATGACACTCATTGTTATAGATTTATGTTCAAATGTGGCCATGCTTACCTGTGCAACTACTTGAAAAAGGCACCAATTGTATTAACAAAAGGCACTAATAGTGTTAGAACAATGCACAACAATGCAATGCACAAATACACCAACAAATTCACTACACACAAAAAAAATGCACCATAATTCTCCATTTCTAATTGTGCATTTTTGAACACTGGGGTGCTTTTATGCATACTTAATGGTACGTTTTTGGTGATGCGTACCTAATTTGTGCATTTTTGTTGTTGTGCATTTTCTAACATTGTTGGTGGCTTGATGCATATTTGCATAACTATTAGTGCGGCGGCACTGACCGCACGTTAAGGCGCGACCACACCTGAACTCTACTATATATATATATATATATATATATATATATATATATATATTTATTTATTTATTTATTTATTTATTTATACTTAATGTGCGTGAGACTTGTGCTTAATGTGCATGAGATTTGTACTTAATGTGCGTGAGTGTGTAGTGTTAACGTGCGTGAGTTTTGTACTTAATATGTTGAGTATTGGGCTTAATGTGCGCGACTTTTAACACAATCGCACAGGAAGCTATAAACAAAATACATTCAGACCACAAACTCACACACATTAAACACAAAAGTCAGACGAAGACGAAGACGTATATGATGAAGAACAGAGAGAGGGGAAGAGAGGATTAAGCGAATAGGAATAGAAGACGAAGACGTAGACGTATATGATGAAGAACAGAGAGAGGGGAAGAGAGGATTAAGAGAATAGGAAGAGAAGACGAAGACGTATATGATGAAAAACAGAGAGAGAGGAAGAGAGGATTAAGGGAAAAGAAAGGAAGAGAAGACGAAGACGTATATGTACATGAGCACATTAACATTACACACTCACGCACATTAAGTACAAATCTCAGGCGCTTTAAATACAAGACTCAGACACATTAAGTACAAAACTCACGCACATTAAGATTACACAATCACGCACATTAAATACAAATTTCAGGCACATTAAGCACAAGACTCACGCACATTAAGTACAAAGCTGACGCACATTAAGTACAAAGCTGACGCACATTAATCAACCGCACAACTGCACGGGAAGCACCCAACCGCACTGGGATATATATATATATATATATATATATATATATATATATATATATATATATATATATATATATATATATATATATATTTTAGGATCATATGAGAACACTTGTTTAGATGAGAACGTGAGAACAAATCGTGTGCATCCATCTAATATTTTTTAATGGCTTAAATTAGATTAAGTGTGTGCAAACGCGATTAAGTGTGTTTGCACACATTTAATTCGCGTTCGCACATACTTAATCTAATCTTGACCAATAAAAAATATTAAATGGATGCACATGATTTGTTCTCACGTTCTCACCTAATCAAGTGTTCTTGGAACCCTACTCTCTCTCTCTCTCTCTCTCTCTCTCTCTCTCTATATATATATATATATATATATATATATATATATATATATATATATATATATATATATATAAGTTTGTTCAAATGCGGCCGCGCCCTTCCGTGCGGCCGTTTGAAGAATACACCAATAATGTTAACAAAAGGCACCAATAGTGTTGAAACTTAAGGTACGTGAGTTTCTTTCTTGAGATACGTTGTTTTCCTTCTTAAGGTGTATGATTTGTATGCTTATGGTGCGTCTGTTGTGTGAAACTTAAGGTGAACCATTTTAAAACCTTAGGTGCGTGGTTTGTGTTCTTAAGGTGCTTTGTTGTGTTCTTAAGGTGCCTGATTTGTGTTATTAAGGTGCTTTGTTATGTTCTTAAGGTGCGTGGTTTGTGTTATTAAGGTGTGTGGGTTGTGTTCTTAAGGTGTTTTGTTTGTGTGCACATCTTTGTGCCTTTGAGTGCAAATCTTTTGGCCTTCAAGTGCACGTTTTGTAGTGTTCAAGTGCATGTTTTCATTTCTAAAAGTGCATAATTAATTTAATTCAAAATTTCCCTTTTAGTGTCTTTTTTTTTTTCTCTCTCTCTCTGCATTCTAGTGATCCTCTTTATGCTTTTAAGTGCTCAATTTAATGCCTAAAAGTGTATGTGTGTCTTACTATTGTGTAAATTTTTTTTTTTTTTTTAAACTTAGCATTCAAGCGAACCCTTTTGCCTTCAAGTGCACAATTTTATGCCTTCAAGTGCATGTTTCTTTGCCTTCAAGTGCACAACTTCTGGGCAGTATTTGTTATATCTTGTGCATTCTTTTCAATAACATATTACTAAATTTCTAATGAAATTTGTGAGATACAAATGATTTTGTATGGGTAATTGGTTTAATAACACTTAAATTGAATAACCTCCATTTTTGGCATCATACATTTCATCAATTGCACATTTATTTGCCTTCAAATGCAACTTCTTTTTTTTTTTTTTTTTTTTTTTTTTTTTTTTTTTACCTTGAAGTGCACATTTTTTTACCTTCAAGTGCATGGTTTTAAGTCTTCAAGTGCACATACCGCACGAAAAGTGGTATGTGCACCTGATCCTAAACTTATATATATATATATATATATATATATATATATATATATATATATATATATATATATATATATATATATATATATATATATATATATATATATATATATATATATATATATAATCCCACTCAGGTGCGAATGCTTCGCCCAGGAGCGAAATAGGAATGAATTCTGTCTGTCCACGTGTCTAGATCTAATGGATGAGAAACACTAATTTTTTAAAAAAAAAAGTGCGGTGGCATTTTCGTAAATAATTGAACATCGAAGTACAAGTAAAATGTATTACAAGTGCATGTAAAATATATTATAGGTGCAAGTAAAAATTTACACTGAGCATCAATACTAAGTGCACCTATAGTTATAAGTAGTTGCACCTATAGTTCTAAGTAGTTGCACACATAGTTATAAGTAGTTGCACCTAGGTGCATGAACGTTTGCGAGTGGTTTTTAGGGGTATTACTACCCACTGAACTCAAATCAATGAATGTTAACAAGGCAAAATTACATGCACTTATAGGTGAAAGTAGGTGCACCTATAGTTATAAGTGGTTGCACCTATAGTTATAAATAGTTGCACTTATAGTTATAAACACACCCAGGTGCAGGAATGTTTGCGGGAAGTGAATGCTAACAAGGCAAAATTACATGCACTTATAGGTGAAAGTAGGTGCACTTGTAAGTGATTTTACTTGCACTTCGATGTTCAATTATTTACGAAAATACCACCGCATTTTTTTTAAGCTATTAGATCTGGACACGTGTCGCTCGCTGATTCGTTTGCATATTCTTTCCTGGGCACTTATTCGCACCTGAGTGCATCCCTATATATATATATATATATATATATATATATATATATATCTATATATATATATATATATATATATATATATATATATATATATATATAATACGTAAATAAAGTCATTATTTTAGTGTAACATTTATGTACATTAAAATTCATTTTTACAAACATATAGAAAGAGCATTATGAACCTATTGCAGAGTAAATGAAAATAGATATGATGTACCTATAATTTAGTGGTTATGTGCATTACAGTATAGATATGTGATCATATAGAACTATTATGAATATAGAATAGTATGAATGTTATTAAATATGATATACTTGTAATGTAATTTTATGTACATTAAGTTTTGTTTTTTATAACCATATAGAAAGAACAGAACATTACAAACGTATTACAAAGTGAATGAAAACATCATATGAAACATCATTTGGAACTAGAGTCTATCATACGAAGTAGACCATGGTCCAAAATATATATAAATTGCGTTATGCACATGTTTGGAGGGAAACAATGCACATGTATGATCTTTACTAGCTTGAAAATTTCATATAAGTGGCATTTAATTAGTTCATAGAATATGAGATTGCTTGACTTGGATAAAAAGATTCTTTTAAGAATTAGTGTGAGATTTGAAATTGTGGGAATGTACATTAACCTTGATAGAGCCATGGGGCTTGAGTAGTTGAGCCTAAGGACAAGTAGGCCAAAGAGTAGATATTTGGTCTCCTAGAGTGAATTGGGTTTAGGAAATAGTTAGAGTTTATTGGCAAGGTTTTTGGAACTTAAATTAGAAGAGAAGAAAGTTTGGGGGTGTAAATTTGTCTGAGAAGTAGGGTTATGGGGTAGAGGCCAAGTATAAATACTAGAGGAATGAGGTATAAAGTGTGCCAAGACAGAAAGTATAGAGAGCCAAGATGTAAAAATTGGAGAGATGTAGTACAAAGTGAATCAGGGGTAAAGTTTTGTGACCAAAGTGCGGTAAGACATCAAGTCATAGACCAAAGTTTGGGAAACGGGAGTGCTTGGGGATTGTTTGACAAATGAGGGAAAAATATAGTCAACCTTGGTGGACAAGATGATTTGGGGGGGGGGGGGGGGGGGGGGGGGTCAATTGGCCCAACTGGTGGAGGCGTTAGTCAACGTGATATGTACAGAATTCATGACCAACTCAATAATAATTCAACAATAATCTTGGAAACTGTTTTCATATAAGTAATTATTGCATATCAAATGCGAATTCAATTAATTGCATCAACAACCAAATAAAAAACACGCAAAAGTCTATAAACAACAAAACGTATAGATCGTAGTTGTAAATTTTTTTTAAAAAAACTGAAATAGACTCGTCTGTCACTACCACTTCCTACGGAGTAATCATATCATCCATATCAAACAAATGCAACGCAATGAAGATTAACTCCA